ACACCCGGGAATTTGATTTGATTGGTTATGATAGTGTAAATGCCCGGGTGCCGGGACACAACTTGAAGACATTAGCACGGCCCCTGGGCAAGCTGAGAGTGGAAAATGCCCCACCCCCGGGACGATTTTACAGTCGATTTCACGAAACTTTGACCACAAATGTTCCGAACTTCGTTGCGAAGTTCGCAAGTTCGTTGCGAAGTTCGGAAGCTCATATTGGAATTCAGAAGCCAATTTGTAAACAAAGTCCCTGATTGATCCGTGAAGTAAAAGAAGCCAATCAAATGCGTAGTTTACGAACTGGTTTGTGAATCTCATTACGAACTTTTGAACTTCGCAACAATCTTGTGAACTTCGCAACGAAGTTCGGAAATTTTGTGGTCAAAGTTGCGTGAAATCGACTGTAAACGTTAATTAAACTTTTAATGGCATATAATCATAGTCATTTAATAACATTATAGTACTGCTATGGAATATTATAAAACATAAACCTTTAATAGTTGTATTTAAATTTGCATGGCACAGGGTATAATTTTCGCTTATTCTTACAATAAGTTTCACGCCACCTTGACCACGAGGGCGCAAAATACGATCACGATCAAGCCCACATGCTTGCCTGAAACTATGTTTTGCTGCCTTAAAATTTGTGGGTGGGATTCTGGGCCACCATTTGTCAAATCCCCGGGGTCCTCCAATACCCGGCCCCCGTGCACATATATGAAAGGCAAATTCCCGACCCCCGTGAACTGTCTATCGGGCAAATTCCCGGGGGTGTCCCGGGGGGGGGATGGTTACTCCAGGAAATGACTCATGCATAATCACTACATTATTTCGCAATGAATCTGTTTAAATAACATGTCAAATATACAATTATTCTTACCTGTGTTACCTGAACAACATTTTAAGGACTTTCTGATGCTTTTCCCATCGTTATTTCCCATTTAAATTGCCTTGAAGGCGCCCTATTAATGCCATGGATATTTATATAAAATTTTTCACAAAAATGTAAAACGACGCTATCCCGCGATGCTCCGCGTTCTAAAAGGTAAACTAGGTACCAGGCGTTTAGTGAATACGCGAACTATGGCGAGCTATTCCTGCTTGGATAAAAATTCCGGAGGGCAAAAATTCTCTTCAACGATTCAATAAAACTGGAAACGAAATAAAAACAAAGTGACTCTATTACCGGCAGCCGGTCTAACTCTCAAAAGGTTAGGGTTAGAGAAGGGTTTGGGATTGGGGATCGGTTTATTCTTATACTGATTACTGAAGATTCAAGTTTAACTGTATCGTCAATGTACTGCCGGCCATTTAGTGTTTGATCAACCGTGAGCTGCCGGTCACATAGTCTCTTCAATTCAAAATAAAAACTACAAATTTACCTGACGCAATAAGATATACGTTGTTCTAAGTCTTGTTAAGATATAAGTTGTGCTATAACACTAGCATTTTACATTTTCTTGCTTCGAAAATTTAAGTAATAATGTCTTACTATTTTATAATTTTGTATTTTAAGAATTTCATTTCTTGTCTTACGAACATATTCTTAAAGTAAGAAAATCGTATTTTCTTATTTTAAAAAAATGTTTTCTTATTAAGAAAATTTTTTTTTTTTTAAGAAAAAGATATCTTGGAATTCAAAAATTTCTTATTTCAAGAAAATTTTTTCTTACTAAGAAAATTATCTTCTTATTTTCTTAATAAGAAAATGATTTTGTCCTGCGCAATATTTTATATTTTGATCGACTGGACGCGTCGTGTTTTAATATTGAGTAATGTTCTAATTTCGATACAGAAATCTTTCTCTTTCATTGCTGTTTGGATAAGCGACACGATTCTTGAATATATTTGGTATCTAAAGAATTAAAAGAAATATAACAAGCGCATCTGTTTACAATTGTTAAAGACATTAGAACACAGAAGCAAGTTATTATTTAAAATTTTTGACAGGTGAGCGTGACTCAATAGGGCGTTTTCCAAAAATACAAGTAATGCGAATAGGCGTTAATTTCCAATTCCAACCTTAAACGCCTGTTCACAGGCCAGCATTGCAATATTCCCGCCCCGCAACAGATTTGCTTGAAAGCTTTGAAGTACCTTTGGAACTTTAGGTAGCTCTCTATAGTTGTTAAAGCATGGGACTGGTAACGAAAAAACAATTCGCGCGTTGCGGGACAGAATCGCGTGGTGAAAAAAATGCCGCGCAAGCGGGAACGGCGCGGGATTTTTAAATGCCGATAGTAAAAATTTAAAAACAAACATGGCAGCGGGTTTTAAAAATCGTTCTCTGACGGGAAAATTTGAGAAAATACAAAAAACTAATCGATGCAATATTATAAATTTGCAACAGGGGCTTCAAGTTTGGAATAATGAAAATATTTCAAACGAGGTTGTGGAAAACGTAGACGAAAACGAAGAGTTTGAATCAGCGACGGACATCGTGATAAATACAAGGGAAAGCACTGTAGGCACCGTAAACACCGAGACGTTTTTAAACTTTTTATCATTGTAAACTTTTAGGTCTGTTTAGAAATTATAATTCACCTTCTTCATGATCATGATTTGGCATTAGTGTAGAATAGAATATATATGACGGAAATATAGTTATTTTCACTTTGTTTGATATAATGATAAGTTTAATAACATAACGAAACACAATGCTAAGTACTCAACTTACACTGGGGATGATGACTCAAAAATCAAATACGACAGGTAAACAGGTAGAATTATGTGAATTGGCAGCAATAAATAAGTTAAGTCTCGCGTCATTTTCTGGGTATGTTTTGCCAAATAAAATTATTGATAAATACGCATCCAGAGTAATAAAACAACCTTTCGATAAAGTCAATGTCCTGTTCCAAATGAGCTGTGTTTTTAGCAAAAATGTGAGAACTTGTGAATTACTCGGAAAGGATTGAGCTTTGATCGAAAGTATTATATCAGCCCCACTGAAGAAATTAAGATAGTATCTAATCAAAGAGATCTTGGTGCATGTCAGTATTCTACAAAAGCTATAAAATCGCTATATATTGGTTTTATGAGGTCGCATTTTGGATACTGTAGTCAGTTGTGGGCACCCCAGTCTGTCATCGGCAACATAACCCAGATATAGCAACTAAATTTATTTGTAAAGACCCCAATTATATTACTTATAAGGATCTTCCTGTCTTTGAACCTATTGCCAATTAATTATTGGCTGAAATATTTAGATCTTGCTTTTTTCTATAAATGTAAGGTTAGTTTAATCCATGTCAATCTAGATAATTCTTTGTCTTTTAGTATTTGGCAAAACATACTCGGAAATGACGCGAGGCTTGACTGATTTATAGCTGTCAATTGGCATAATTCTGCTTGTTTATCTGTCGTATTTGTTTCAGTGTCGAATAAAACTATGTTTTAAAAAACTGCAGCATAATCGTCGAATGCTATGGGAGAACATTGTGATCTGGGGGTATAGGGTGGGACAATCTCTTCATAGGAAGCTAGTGTATCAGCTGGTAGGTCAGGGCAAAATAGTTCTTCATTTGCAGTGGTACTGATACTGGTACTAGCTTTGGGTAATGTGAGGCCGATATTTGTCTCGTATGTCTTGCCCTCCTTCTTTTTACTTGATAGAATACCATGTATTTGCTTGCTATGAATTTCATTCCTTCGCCTCTTGACCTTCAAGAATTTCTTTCTCGTGTTGTCACCATCTCTTTTCCTCTTCATTCCATCAACATATGCCTCACAGTTAGTGCCAGGTTCAATCCCCAATGCATGCAGTGTTCTACAAGTGTACCCATAACCACCATTGGTTTGTGCCACTGCGCATGCATGCCATACGAAAATCATTGCTTTCGCTCCCACCATAGACTATAATCTTGGAATTTTTTTAACCAACCGTGCATAGTAGTAGTAGAACTTTATTTATCCACGCTGATCCCGTCAACCGTAACTGATTTCCACGGGGGGCGTGTGTTAATAGACTCATTTCTCTTGGAGCAATATTTTCAACCATGGTGCATGTTAAAGTGATATTGACTGAAAATATCATTCAGGGTTTGTTTCAATTCCTCGCCATGCAGGTCTTTCTCATATGGTAGATATGCATGCTTGCACATAGCTGGCTCCTGTTTCCGTCGACACCATGACTCGCTGCAGTTAGTGTGGATGCCAAATGCATGAGGTACTACGCACTTTAATGATGCTTGCATTGATTTTGAGTTACTCTTGTTTTGGTTGACAGCAACTGAAAAGCCATTCACGACTTTTGTTGCCAATGATAAGCAATCGGGAAATCTTTTCATTTGAATTATGTTAACAATCTTTTTATTTGAATTATGTCACTAAATTACTCTACTCCATATGGCACTTGTGCATGTATGAATCTTTCAGTTGGTGAGTCATCATCCGCAGTGTAAGTTGAGTATTAAGCCCTGGGCAAACTAGGAAACATTGTTGCGGAAACATTGTTTCCTGCCAATGTTTCTCCATGTTTCCCAGAGTGGGCAAACACTAGGAAACATTAGTGAGAAACATAGGGAAACATAAAATATTTCTGAATTTGCTAGGAAACATTTTTGCTTCTCAGGAAGCAAATTTTGTTTCCGCAACAATGTGTTCACCGGTGAGCAAACAGGGAAACATTTGTGGAAACATCGATAATTACAAATGTTTCCGCAACAATGTTTCCGCAACAATGTTTCCAGTTCGCCCCGGGCTTTAGCATTATGTTTTGTTATGTTATTAAACAGTTGAACAGCAGATGTATAGGCTCCATAGCTTTTGATGAACCACTATGATTTTTTCGGCAGTCATGTATACGAGGAGTAGAGTTCATTTTTTTGGCATAATCACAAATTCTGCATGATTTTGTCTTTGTTGTGCAGTCCATTATTTTTCCATTGTGTAAGCCCATTACGGCTCCTTGTCCTGTGTTTGAATTGAAACCTTTGCCTTGTTTCTTCCAAACCCATGTCATACAAGCATGAAATTGGAACAAGATTATTCTCGTCTGGTCTTTCATCAATTGTAATTGCATTTCTTTCTCTATTTCTATGGTTTAACTCATGCGTGCCCTGCAATTGCTTCAACTGCTTTACCAGCTTCTCGCTGACGGGTCTTGAATGAAGCACGGGTCATGGTTGGGATGTTCGTAATTGACAAGATGCCATTCAAATGTGTCTCACCAATTCCGGTGTGAAGACTGGCTAAAACTGACTTTGTATTGACGTCATATGCCATTGGACCATAGGCTTCAGACTTGTGGGCGAGTGATGTTTCAACAACACTATTTGTTTGACCACAAAACTGACATTGAATATATAGCTTGCTAGCTAGACCATATAACTTTTCTTGTTGTATATTGCTCAATGACAATAGTCCTTAAAAATAATAGAGCTTTTATTGTTTATTTCAAACGTTTTCATGAATTAATAACTATAATTAATATTTATACAAATTTAATCAACTGACACTTGTACAATTTGAAAACAATACTTTATTTTATAATTATATAGTGACCAATATATATCAAAATTTTGAATCGAAATAATTCTGTATTTGAAGTGGAGAAACTAAATGCTTCACATATGCCTTTGTTTACCTTCTTTGAAAAATTCACAACTCTCCAATATATCCTTTCCGCAGTTAGTTTATGTCAACAATTCGGCTTCCGTGATGTAAATTCTCTTTTATTTCTTGTTTTGCCTAATGCCGCCACATCATGGAGTACGTGAATTATAATTTTTAAACAGACCTAAATGTTTACAGTGATAAAAACGTCTTGGTGTTTACGGTGCCTATTGTGCTTCAAACTCTTCGTTTTTGTCTTCGTTTTCCTCAACCTCGCTTGAAATATTTTAATTTTTCCAAGCTTGAAGTTCCTCTTGTAATTTTACAATATTCCCTCGATTTCTTTTTTGTACTTTCTCAAATTTTCCTGTCAAAGAACGATTTTTAAAACCCGCTACTTATCGGCATTTAAAAATCCCGCGCCGTTTCCGCTCGCGCGAAATTTTCTCGCACAGCTCGAATCTGTCCCGCAACGCGCGAATTGTTTTTTTCGTTACCAATCCCATGCTTTAACAACTGTAAGGTACCACCTTAAAGTAGAATTAATAACTTTGTATATATTGGGCCACATGTTTTTCAGTTATATTGCTGTCAAATGTTTTCACCATCTTTGCATAAAGTTGTTCACTTTTTCATTTATTCAAAATAGTCACCTGCTTTCCACTTATTTCTTTTTATCATTAAAAAGGTCATCGTTTGAACACTATAAAGACGATCAAATATGTACACGCAGAGTCTGGAAAGGATTGCATCATTCAATGTATGCTTCAAGACAAATCATGCAGATCTGCTAACTTCAGAAAAACTTGTGGAGGAGAAGAAAATTGTGAGCTGCTCAAAACTGTTGATTCAGAAGAACCGACGGGGAGTTTAAAACAGGATGACAATTTTGACTATTACATACTACTTCAACCAGATAGAGTAAGTACTCTGAGGGCATGTTTGTATATATGGAGGGGAGGAGACTTTCACTTCCAAGATAAAATTCGCACCATAATTAAATAAATACGTATACTCATCGATAAATGATGTTGAAAACAACAAACATTTTGAAGATATTTGGTGCACTAGTGTAGCATTTATGGGGTTCACGCTGCGCGCAAATTTGTTTCCTGGAGCCAAACGAAGAGAATGTTTCAGCGATGTGATTGGTGGGGGAAAATGCTGCACGCGATAACTGAATCTTTGCATCTTAAATTCCTGCATATGGTCAGTTGCGCTGGCTCGTTCGGCGATACAATCTACAAGTATGACATTTTAGGTGGGCATGCACCTTTCTCTCCCAGATTGATATTCCTTTGTATTTCAGTCTGTTGCAACAAAACCGTAACTACACTTGCTTCTCTCTATTATAATTCTTCCGTGACATCTGTATTCCTCTCTTGTACAGTTCTACTACCCAAACCATTGTCAGCTTCAGCACTTATAGCATATTTCTTCATCATTTCAATGATATTCCAATTGTTTGTGTTAGTATTACAAATACAATTAATTATACTATAATTGCATTCACAACTATACTGCATATTCACAACTAATTCCTCCCCATATGCATCACGCGATACATGGACATTGAGCATCATCCTTCAACAGAAACAATGTTTGGTTGTTTACTTCTAGAAACCTAAAGATCCTGTTTCATCAAACTCTCCTGCACCGATAACACAAACTTTATCAATTACAGGTAAGCTTTGGTAAGATGCCTATACTATAAAAAAAAAAACAACACAGTGGGTTCTTGCAACCCACAACTCAACCAATATATATGACTACAATAATCCAAAATAATTTGAAGTACGTGCTTTTTGGAAACAATGCAAGTTTTGTTTTCTTCTGAAAACTGAAAATGTTTTTTCTAGCAAAACTTACCCAGAAGCTAACAACAAAATATGTTCCAACAACCCAACCACCAGGAAATGTCACAAACCAAAGCACTTGAAATCACTTTGTGTTATTAATTCAAAATAGTTAATGCTTTAGTTAAATCCCCATAACAAAAACAACACGAAGGTCAACATCTTAGCGAACAAGTACGAAACAAAGCATGAACTACGAATATGACACAAAAATCAGACTATAATTTTGACGAAACAAAGAAAAATGATTAATTTAATAAACTTTGTTAATCGAAGATGATGTCCATAATAGTTCCTATTCACGTCTAGAGATAAATCTGCACGAACAATTTAATTTGCTTCTAGATCTAAGTTCATGCAAGGGAATAAAAGAATTTGACTTGGATGCAAATGATGGAGAATACAATCTTTACCTGATGTTGCCAGAATGCAATCAATCTGCAAGGATCTTTTGCGCAGATATGAATACTACAAATCCTAAAGAATATGTCACACTACCTGCCGGAGGGAGCAATAATTTTGCTCTTCATTACAATAAGCAGAAGGGTCACCAAAATGAAGAACAATGGTCACGTTTTGAAAAGGTTCTTTTTATCGCTTAACACACTCTAAATTTCTGGGTGTTGCTATAAAACCGAAATGGTGCAATCATTGAAGCTCAATCCGGGCACATTCATTCAGTGATAAAGATAGCTCCATTTTTGACTTAAGGAAACATGTACCAAGTACACTGTATACACCTAATAACGTATAGAAACACATGTAATAACATTGCGAGTAAATATCAGCCATTGATGAGTGTAGTTGGTGTTACCCTAACACAAGATGAAGTTAGAACACCTCTAGCGATTTTTGACTACTTTTTGCCAGTCATAATTGGTAGATCTCTTCCAGTTTTGCGTTTATATTACGTACCCACGAAGATATGCAGAGATAGCAATGTGGAATACATCCGTCTTTATTTAACTTCGCTTTTTATTTACTTTTAGATACGTCTTAATATTGATGACATGTCAGTAAATATAACTGACTTCCGGTTTGCTACAGCAAGCACGCCAAACGCATTTCATCGCTTTGCAACTGCTGGGGACTGTATTTCATCTGATTGTTCCGAAGATTACAGAAAAGGAAATTTCAAAGTTGATATAAATGGTACGAATTTTCTTTTACCAAACACCATTTCTTATATGTTTCATTCATGGCCACCATGCGCTCAACGTGTATACAAGGGATCAATGAGCTCTGATCGTAGACAGTGGTCAGGATACTGCGGGGGACATTGCGGAGAGTGCTGGCCTGAAGTATTTCGCCTTCTGGTTGAAGGATGTTAATTAAAGTATTAAAGTATACTTTAATTAAGTTAAGGAACAAGGGGTTTCAAACATTTGACTAACTTTCATACGGATTCTTCAAAATAAAAAG